TGACATCTAGTTTATATCAACCTCTCCTCTCAACAAGAAGTCTTCCTCAGGTGCTTTTAGTTCTCAGCACAAAAAGTCAAGAGCAGACAAGCCAGAATATTACAGTGTGGACAGCGGCACAACCCAGTATGTAAGAACAGAGCAGGAAGGCGTGATACAAATACTGCTCAAAGACCCTGACCTGAATGGCAGGTACCCTTGAGTGACAGGTGTTTATGATGTGTTTACTCATTACTGGCACTTGTCCAGGTAATTTCCTGGTGTCAGTTCATTCACCCTCCCCAAAAACTGTGAGCATATCGTCACTATCTGGTCACTGAACAGAGGTGTTTAGGTCCTGGAGTCCTAACCCAGGATCTGGAGTCTGTGGGTCATGTTAAGTATTAAGCTAATAATCTAAAGGTTAGTGACTCGGATCCACCCAGAGGCTCCTTGGAAGAGAGGACTGGCAATCTGCTTCCAAAAGAAAGTCATCGAAAACTCCACGGGGCCATTGAACTACCCGAGGGTTGCCAACCAGAGTCAATTTGGTGGCAACTGGTGGGTTTTAAACATATGGTTCCAGAGTTCATGGAGTTGGCAGCAGTTTTGTGCTTCCTTTCATGATGAAAATTGCTTTACAAATTAGATCATTCTGGAGCGAGGGTGGGGAAGTCACCATAGTGGGTAATTTAAAAGAGGAACCAAGCACTTCTGGGCAAAGCTCAGGTTCCTGACTTAACAGAGTCCTGGGCTGGCAGCTGGGTGCTGCTGTTGGGCAGTGTCATGTTCCAGCCCTCATTTAAATGGACCATCAGATTATTTATAAACCCGTTTGAAAAAAAGGTTGCCATCAAGTTGATTCCCACTCATGGTGAGCCCGTGGGTGTCAGCGTGGAGCTGTGAGCCATTGAAGTGTTCACTGGTTTTATCAGGCCTGGATCTCCAGGCCTTTCTTGTGGTGTGCCCCGGGTGGATGAGCACCACCAGCTTTTCAGCGAGGGGCTGACAGTGTTAACCACTTGCATCTCCAGGGACTCCAGTTTAGCTTTATCCTCTGCCATATGGGGATGCAGCGTTCCAGAACAGTTTCCTTCCCTGCTCTCCCTTCCCCTTCAGCTGCCAGCTGTCATGTGTCAGCTGCCATTTAAATATGGATGGATGAATGAATGGATAGTTGGATGTCTTCTCTTTAAACCTTGTTTCTGAGAAACTTAGAAGTTCAGAGAAAGTGGCAGGGCAGATGGTAGGGGAGGGGAGGGGACGGAGGGGAGGAGGTGAACTCTGGGTAGGCAAGTCCCTGGTGATCAGAGGATGAGCCTTTGAGTTGTAGGGGCCTCTCACTCAATCTCACCAGTGGGTGTAGGGCTGTTCCCGCAGCTTTAAGTCACCTATATATGTGAAACAAACATTACTCACCCCTTCTGAAACAAGCCCCAGTCTGAAAGGAAACGTCTGTGGTTTGAGGTCCCTCTCCCCATTAGAGACCATGAATGAGCCCAAGGCTTGGTGGTATGTTTATGGCAAAGGGGATTCTGTCATTTTCTGTGGAAACTCTACCACCCATCCTAAAATGGCTTTAATCTTGTGTCACTAGGCGCTTTGATAGAAGTCTCCTGTAGGGTCAGAGGTGCACTTGGGGGGGTGTGTGACGTGTGAAAGCTCGTGACACGAGCAGAGGATAGAGAGAGTATGCATAAGGAAGAGTTCTCTGACTTTGATCTCTAGGCCCCTCTGAGGTCTGGCTTTTCTCACAACTGTCTTCTAAGACATGAATGTAACAAACTAAATTAAAATTAAAAAAAAAAAGACATGAATGTGAGAACTAGAGTCCCATGTGGGGGTGTGGCTGTGAGACTCTGGGAATGTGCGTTCCCTTACAAGGCCACGTGGCTGTGTCTTTGGCAGAGTTTTCATAAAGTTGAGGACAAACTCTCTTTAAAGGGCAGCCGTGTGGTGAACAGAACTCTATACGAGGAGGAAGCATGAGTGGAGTTTGTATTTTTAGCACAGCATTGTTCCCAAGGTGTGGCCTGCAGAGACTGAGTGGAGTTTTATGATCAGCTGTGCAACAGAATGAGAAAAAAATATATACAAGCCTTGTACTTAGTAGCAAACTTAGATTGAGAATACAAGATGGACTTTCACAACTCAGTGGTCAAAAGACATCCCGTTTAAACATGGCAGAGGACTTGAATAGACGTTTTACCAAAGAAGAAACCCAAAGTGGCCAATAAGTGCATGGAAAGATGTGCAGCGTCATCGGCCACTGGGAAAGCACAAATCAAAATGACTGTGTGATACCGCCTCCCGATTCCTGTTGTTGCTGATTGGGGGCCATCGAGTCAAGAACAGCTCATAGCAATCCTGTGAACAACCAGTCTGAACACAGTCCTATCCTGTGCCGTCCTCACAGTCTCTGACACACTCAAGCCCATTGCTGTAGTCACTGTCAGTCCACCTGGTTGAGGTCTTCCTCTCCGGCTATAATCATGAAGATAGACAATAATGAGGAGAGCAGGGCTGTGGAGAAACGAGAGCCTTCATACTGCTGGGATGTGACATGGTACAGCCCTTTTGGAAACTTTTTGGCACTTCCTCAAAAAATTAAACATGGAGTTGTTAGATGATCCAGAAATGCCACTCTTCAAGGAAACCAATAGTGTGCATCCAAATTGTTCATACCAATACGATGCAGACATATAATAGTCAAAGAGTAGAAACAACTCAAAAGTCAGCTGATAGAAGGATTTAATAAAGTATAAAATACCCATGTTGTTGTTGTTCGGTGCCATCACATCCACTGTAACTCATTCTGCACCTGCCCTGCCTTGCACCGTCATCGTGATTTCTGCCATGCCTCAGGCCCACTGTTAACAGTCTCTGTGTCAGTCCATCTTGTGGAGATTTCCCTCTCCTTTATTGACTGTCTGCTTTTCCCAGCATGATGTCTTTTTCCCAAAAAATATGATGTCATCCTGACAACATGCCCAGTATGTGAGATGAAGGTTAACCATCTTTGCCTCTGTTCTTGTGTTGCACTTCCTGTAACGAAGATAAAATTGTTTTTTTCTTTTGGCAGTCCACGGGATATTCAAAATTTTTCTCCCACACCACAATTCAAAGGCATCTTCAGTCTTCTTTATCCGTTGTCCAACTTTCAGATGTATAGGAAACAACTGCAAGTAACAAAGCTTAGATCAGAAGTACTCTACTCAGAATTTCCATACACTGGGATAGAGAGAGCTCTGTTGGCCTAGTGGACAGAAAGTTATACTAACAAGCCATAGGTGAATAATTCTAATCTGTGGCCCTCAAGCCTGGTTTTAATTGTTTTTGGTCAAACATTCTTCTAAGTGGTATAGCACTGGTCTGTCCATTTGCTGTACAGCGGTAACTCCTGGTTGCTGTGGTGCTAAACACTGTGACATGGATGTGTTAAATGCAATAATGGTTACCCGTGGTGGACAGTGTTTGGTGGAGCCCCCGATTAAAACAAGCTTGGAAACAGGTCTGGCATCCACCTCTGAAATAGCTGGCCTCCAGAAACTCTGTGAATGTGGAGAAATGATGAAAGTTATACAAGTGTTCCGATCTTTTGTTCTTAGGGTCATTGTGAGTCATCTGCAATTCGACAGCACTTAACAATAACAACAATAAAAAGGAATGGAGTTCTTATACATGGTACAAGATGGATAAACTGGAAGTACTATCTTAAATCAAAGAAAAGGAGCTCTGGTAGCTTAGTGGTAAGGAATTGCACTGCCAAAGCTTTGTTTTGTGCCATTGAGTCACCTGTGGCTCATAGCGACCCTTTGTACAATAGCTTTGAACCCTGCCCTATCCTGAGCCAGTCTCACTATCTTTGACACACCTACCCCTAGTACCCCAGCACATGTCAATCCATCTTATCCAAGTTCTTCCTCTCTTGTGCTGTCCCTCTACCATTCCAAGCATGATGTCTTTCTCCAAGGACTGGTCCCTCCTGGCCACATGCTCTTGGTATGTGAGACGGAGCTTCAAAATCTTTCCCTCCAAGGAGCAGCTTGGTTTCATTCTCTCCAAGACAAACAAGTTTGTTCTCTTGGCAGTTCAAGAGTATGTTCAATACTCTTCCCCAGCACCACAACTGAAAGGCATAGATGATTCTTCTTTCATCCTTAGTCATTGTCCAGCTCTGTGATGCAGAGCAAGTAATTGCTAAGAGAATGGCCTGGATCAGGTGCACTTTCTTAGATTCTATAGACTGATCATCATTGCTCTTTAGCACTTTAGAGAGGTCCTTAAACAGCAGATTTCCCTAGTGCAATTAATCTGTTGATTTCCTGAATGCTGGTTCCAAGAGTGTTGATTGTGGAAAGTTAGGTGGTTCAAATCCACCAGCTGCTCCAAGGGAGAAAGACGGGCAGACTCCTCCTATGATTTACTGCCGCTGAAAACCCCCTAGAGCGTCAGCTATGGGTTGATTCCAATTCAACAGCACACAACAATTCAAAGAAACTGCTCACTAAAGACCACATGGTGTATCACAGGAAGTCTATGAAATGTCCAGAATGGGCAAATTCTTAGATAGAAAGTACACCTATAATTGCTCGGGACTCCGTGGGCTGAGGAGAAAGAGGAGTAAGTGCTAGCAGGTATAGGGTTTCTTCTGGAGAAGATGAAATGTTCTAAAACAGAATATTATGATGATTATGAACTCCTAGAAGGGTTGTAAAAATCATTGATATGTTCACTTCAAATGAGAGGGTTGTGTGTAGTTGTTAATTGTGAAGCTGATTCATACTCCTAGCAGCCCTAAAGCTGGGAGCTATTGGAAACAGATAATCAGGATTTCCTGAGTTCAAACCACCAACCTTTTGACTGGTTGTTAGCGTTTAAGGCTCACACTACCCAGAGACTCTGTGTTACATGGTACATGATTAACCTCAGTAAAGCTGTTAGAACAATCAGCTCTGCACAAACTGTGATCCATGAGAAAAGAGATGATTCTGTAAATGGAAATCCTTTCTACTTTACAGCACCAGTAGCGATGACTGGTCCACCGTGCCGTGGGTGAACTGTACAAACATCACAGAGACAGAGTGTGACTTCACGACTGCCAGCCGCCCCCAGGGTTTCCTGTGGCACCGTGGTGTCTATTTGCGAGTTAGAGCTGAGCTCGGAGACCTGGTTTCTAACTGGGCGACGGTGCCCTGGTTTCAGCGCTACCGGAATGGTAAGACACCTTGGCCATTCAATTTCCCTCAAGTGTCTGGGTTTTCTTCCCTTCACCTCTTGGAGTGAGCAGTACTGATTCCAAGCACCACTGTCCAGACTCTCTCTCAAAATAAGCAGCGAACCAGTGGGTGTGAAAGGGGAGCCCTGATACCTGTAGAGGCCAGTGCCGGAGAAGTGCGGGGTGCCAGACGGGCAGCAAACTAGAGCTACACATCAAACCCCAGCCGCTGCCTGCTTTCATCAAGAAAATTTTGTTGGAATGCAGGTGTAGCCATTTATTGACATAGGGTCTTAGGCTGCGTTCATGCTAAAGCAGCACAGTTGCATAGTTTATAATAGAAACCAGTTGACTAAGTTTACAGTCTGGCCATTTATACTGAAAAATGTATGCTGGTGTCTGTTAGACAGGATACCCATATGTTGGTTTCACTGAACACAGTTCTGTTCTGGCCCAGCTGCTTTTACCCGGGGTTCTTCACAAGGGCAGGTCTTTTCAGCTCTGCTCTTTTGGTCTCTCAGGCCTGGCAGGCATCCCTGCTCCCTGCATACTTCCATGAGGAAGCAGATGCGTCTGTGTCTAGAGAATGCGTCCCCACACAGAGCGGCCTGCAGCAGACCCTGCCTTGCACTCTGAGCACACAGCCGCTGGAAGGGAAGCTGGTGAACAGGTGTGCCCACCCTTGGGCAGGGCCAATGAGAGTGCTTTGTGATTAGCAACCAGTCCACTCCCAGAGCTTGGTAGACGGTTTCCTGGCCCAGCCCTGTCTCTGCCAGTGGGCACTGTATGGCTTTAGCTCCTTCTCAAGAACAAATGAGATTAGGGGACATGAGTGCAACATCTATAGGGACATACTTCTTTTGCACATTTTGAAGCATGACCAAATGTTATGCCTCACCCTAGCCAACCTGGGAGAGGCCAGGAGAGAGGGGACAGTGTAAGAATGTACCCTACTACTGTTAACAGGTCCCTGATGTGACCATCCACATAGAGACAGAGCTTTGGGGAAGGGGTGCATAGGGAATTGTGCAGCTCACCCAAAGGCCTCTCCTCTCGGGCAGTTCAAATCCACTAGCAGTTTTGCAGGAAAAAGATGGGCATTCTCTTCCCATGCAGTATACAGCCTCTGAAAATCCAATGGAGGAACAGCAGCTATGAGTCTATTCCAACTCAAAAGCAATAAGTAAGTAATGAATATATGTATGTAATGTGCAAAGATAGTTCTCTTAGAACTTGTAGGGCCCATCCTGTACTTTGATCTGAGTTCACTGGGTTAATTATTCAATGTAAATACACTTGATAAATGCCATAACCTTTCATTTATAGCACATAGTGAGTCACCGTCCTTGTCCTTTGAGTTACATGAAAAGCCTTCATAAAGACAGCCAGCTACCCGGTGCCGTCCAGTCAGGTCCACCTCCTGGTGCCACAAGGGTGTTAGAGGAGCTGTTAGGCAGAAAAGGATTTGAGGGTGAGAGAAAGAAACAGGTCCCAAAAAACAAAGAGGTCTTTATTGCGTGGTCTGAGAGGGACTCCAAGTGACCAGGAGAGGAGAAAGAATAGCATGCACGCAGTTAGGGGCTGTTTCTTTTTATAGGGGTCTTGGGGAAGGCTAGGGAAGATGGCACCTCTCGGAAGTTGGGGTCCTTAATTAACTCATGTCTGGGCTTTCGTGATCAGGCCCCGAGCCTTATGATTTATTATCTGGTCCGGTCTTTTTCCTCGGGGAGTGATCAGGCATGGGGGCAACTGCTGTATCTTTTCCTCCATGAGCTGTGCTCCACAGGGTTTTCTAAAATAGATTACAAGACTCTCCTTCCTGTTTCTCAGGAATATTCAAAGGTGGTTGTTGTTAACTGCCGTCAACTCATAGCAACCCTGTGAACAAAAGATCTGAACCTTGTTCCATCCTGCGCCATGCTCACACTTTCTGACACACAAGAGCCCATTGCAGCAGTCACTGTTATCAGTCTACCTGGTCGAGGGTCATCTTCTCCTTCACAAACCCTCCATCCTTCCCAGCATTCAAAGATAGTATTGCATTAAACTTGACACAAAGACAAGTAACATTTCAAGGTGTGTAGCTGCCTTTTTTGCTCATTTGTATTGAAATATGATGTGATTTTAGGTCAGGATTAACAAAATCTTGCCCCTCTGCATGAAGCTGCTGATTAACTTCCTAGCTCTGGTTCCATGGAAACTTCATTAGGCTGCTGTCCTAGGCAACCCTGCTGGTAGTGGTGTGAACGACCTCTGCTGGGTAAACTGCTCCTAAGCCAGAGACCTTAAAACACTGGCAAAAATCTTTTCTTTAAGCTTCATTGAGTAAGGCTTATGGCTGGGCACATCCTTGTGGGATGTGGAAACTCACTCTGTGGGGTTTTTACAAGACACTGCATCTTGTGATTCTTAATCTGGAAGAGTGTTCACATCTCCTGAGTGACTCTCCGCTCCTGGGACCTGAGTGTCTCCAAGGGGCCAGCACGTCTCACTGCTGTGTGCACTGCTGTGAGGACTACCTGCTCCTAACTCCATGCTCCTCTGCCTGCAAGTTCCCCTGGTGTCCAGAGCAGCGCCGGGTGATTTGGGTATCTGAATAATTAGAACCTCAAAAGAAAACACTTGGTGGTCAATGTAATACATATGTTATTTTTAAAATCCCATTTCAGTTATCATCGGACCCCCAAGAAACATTGAGGTGATCCCTGGAGAAGGCTCCCTTAACATCAGAGCCTCCCCTCCCTTTGACGTCGATGTCTCCATGGCCACTTTTCAGTATAATGTCTCTTACTGGGAAGAGTCTGGAACCCCAAAGGTAATAGCATTTTACTTCCTTTTTTATTTTCTTTAGAGTTTCTGATTTACTAGGAGAAAGTAACTTTCAAATGAGTAAGGATAAGAGATTTTCCCAAAATCTCCTTCAAGTCTGAGACCAGAGCTCCTCTGACACCTCTTTTCCAGCCTAGTTTTCTGCTCCATGGAGGGAGACTTCCCTTCAGTGGTATCGTTTGAAGGGGCCTCTGTTGGTCTGACATCACACCATTCTTCTGGTTTGGGGTCTGGATATTCCTGATGTCCCCCTTAGGTGGCTTTGTCATGCTGTGAAGTTTAGGGGACATTTCAGTGGGTCTGTTTATGCCACAGGCAGTCCACCACTGTTATCTGTGGTGTGTTTCTCAGGTTTGAAGTATTTACAAAGAGAGCATATGCAAATAGAAGAACCTCCTTGAAGGAGAAAGAGCATTCCAAGGGTCAGTAAATAGCAGGTAAGACAAGACTTAGCACAGGCAAACTCTAGGACTTTGCTCCATCAGAAATGGACACTGCATCAGAAAATGGCAGCAAAAAAGGTTGGCAAAGGTAGATCAAAAGCACCTGGTCTACCTTTGTAAGACAAGGAAAAGATAATGACCTTCAGTCATCTTGAGTACAAAGCTTAATGAGGGTTAGTATCTATGTAAGCATTTTCTGAGTCCAGCATTATAATATTTAATAATAAAGAGAATCATTTTTGTTTCTCAATAACTTTCTTTATGGCAGACACTGGGCCAAGTGCTTAAGCTACCACATTTTGTTTAATCCCAGAGAGGGGAAACCTGATGATTGAAGGACTCGCCAAGGCAGGGCAGAGGGACCTGTCCTGGATCCATGCTCTTGGCACCACGTTTTTCTACCCCAGTGCTTACATTTGCACTTTCTCTTGGTTTCTCTAAGGGTAATCTGAAAACACTGCAAAGGCAAAACTCACTACAGCATATGGTGGTGGCTGCTGTTAGGTGCCGTCTAGGCAAGCATGACTCATAGCGACCCTGTGAACAACAGATCTGAGCCCTGTCCTGTCCTATGCCATCCTCATCATCCTCGACACACTTGAACGCATTGTTACAGGCATCTCATTGAGGATCTTCCTCTCTTTCACTGACCCTCCATCTTTCCACGCTTACAGGGATTAAGGAAATGCTTCTTTTCTCAAATCAGTAGAGCAGTGTCTGGGCTGAGAGGACACAGCCTAGTGGAATGCAGAAGAGCTTAGAAATCAGATCTGGTACTGGAAATGAGACAGGCTGGGAGCTCTAGTCAAACATTTATACACCTTTCAGAGTGCACCATATTCCACTGCTTCCCTCCTGGGGCCAGTCCACAGTTGTCTCTTCTCTCATGAAGTGAGTCACTGTCAGTAACCCAGGGCTGGGCAAGCTGCCCAGTGCTGGACGGCTCGGCGTCTGTTGATCAGTATGTTCTAATAAAAAAGTACACAGACCATGCTTCTACTGCTTGGAGTTTGTTTTGTTTGTGTCATGTGTCGCTTAACCCCCCATGGGCCATGGATTTCTCTATTGCAAAACATTGCAGTTGAGTTGCAAGGGAGCATCCACCCCTGGGTTTCTATGAGGGTTCCACCTGGGAAAGCCACCAGTGTGATGTTGGTTTTAACCATGAGTCTGTTTGACAGGAGTCCTCAAGACTACCCCCAGGCTCAGTGGTGTTTTCTAGGGACTCACAGGACTTGACCTGTAATTTCAGTTGTGGCTACGCAGAATAATGCAAAGTAAATTCAGCAAAGGGAACAAGTACACAGGGCAAAGTCTGAAGGAAACTAGGTGAAAGCTTCTAAAAGTTCTCTTCGCCACACATACACAAAACCCAAATTTTCAAAAAGCACGCTGCCACAGCTTTCTTCCACCAAGAAGCGAGAGGGTTCAAACCACTCATCTTTTTGTTCGCAGCCGAGTACTTTTAACACTGTGCCACCAGGGCTTCTTCAAGAGTCACACACAGTGTACTAAATTCTTCCAACAACAGGTTACAGCGGCCGGTGTGAAACATCTACCTGCGAAGCTCATTGAAGACTCAGTGTTCAGGGTTTTTCTTAGGAAGCCCTTTGCCCTGCATATATCAAAATTTCAGGGACCTGGAGAGGGTAAAACCAAGTTTCTCATGAGAAGCTGGGATTTTGAAGCTCCATCTCATATACATTGGGCACATAGCCAGGAGGGACTGATCTTTGGAGAAGGACATTGTGCTTGGAAGGATGGCGGGACAGCACAGGAGAGGAGGACCCCAGAGGAGATGGATTGATACGGTGAATGGGCAATGCGGGGAGGTGTGTCAGAGTTAGACTGGCTCAGGACTGGGCAGGCTTCAGAGCTGTTGTTCATAGAGTTGCTATGAGTCCCAGGTGACTCAACAACACATAACAACAAGAATGATAAACCACTATTTTCACAGATAGCACAGGGAACCTCTCACTACCAACTGGGAGGGATGAGAACATCCCCAAAATGCAGGCCAATCAAGAAGGGCCAGCTTCCTCTGCTTTAATTTCCTCCAAGACGGACGTGATTGTTAATGGGGCAGTCCATGGGGAATTCAGTACTCTGCCAATACCACAGTTCAGGAACATAAATTCTTCTTCAGGCGTCCTTATTCACTGTGCAGCTTTAACAACCATGTGAATTAAATAGAAAATACTATTCTTTGAATCAGGTGTCCTTAGTCCTTAAGGTGTTATCATTGCTCTTTAGCATTTTTTTTTTTTTAGTTTTTTAAATAATTTTAATGAACATTTACAGAGATTTTGGATTTCCATTCATTCGCTGCTATAGCATTTTGAAAAGGTCTTTGACAACAAGTTTGCCCAGATCAACATGTCTTGACTGCTGCTACCATGGATGTTGGTTTTGGAGTCAAGGACAATGAAATTATTGACAACTTTAATCTTTTCTCTGTTTATCGTATTTTCTGTTGCATGTAGTTGTCATGTGTCTTTCATTCCCTTTTAAACTGAAACTGTATTCATTTTTAATTTTCCCCAGTATTTTGTATTTTAAAGAGTAGAAACCAGTTTTTCTGTTGTTATTCCCCACCACACCCCTGTCTCTCTGTTTGAATTTGTCTGAAGTTTCCTCAGAAATAAATTCAGATTGAACCTGGAGGGGTTGGGAAGGAAAAGGGGCAGACTCACAAGGGAGCTTTTCTAAGGAGCATGACTGTCTCAGAACCGCTGTGTGAACTCTTGTCTGCAGAGTTGAACATTTCCTCAGTTTCAGAAACGCCAGCTGGCTGCTCAAGTTAACACACATGGGAACTGTGTCCTTAAAATTGCTTTATGCCACTTCATGAGACATATTGGAAAACATGGAGGTATCATAAACATGTCTGCTTGGGCAGTTTATATGTATGGTTATTGAGGTGGTTTTGGGTGTGGGATTTTTTTGTTGTGTGTGTGTTTTTTTTAGCAGACTAAAGACCACATCAAGAGCAACTTCATTTTGTTGGATGGCTTAAAACCCTTAAGTGTATACTGTTTACAAGTCAGAGTGGAAATGGTTTGTCAAAAAGAAGGCATCTTTCGACCTGGGCTTTTTAGCAACACAACTTGCTCCAAGACAGCAGCATATGGTAAAAGCATATTTTCTTATGTCTTTTCTAAGTTGGGAGAAGATTCTGATGTAGTGAGATGAGAGAGTGTTTATTAAGGGTGGCGCCTGGGACAGGGTTGGTGTGAGGTGACACAGAGGGCCTGAGAGGAGAGCATGTATCTGTGAGACACGGCATGGGTGCTAAGACTGCTCATTACAAGACTGCCTTGATTAGCTATTAATTTAAGCATCTGGGGTTGGGGGGTACCCCTGTCTTACTTTGTTCAGACACAAAAATAAAGCTAGTGGTGGGTGAGAAAAATGAATGGTTTTATCTTGTGAGAGATAGTCATCTTTTTTTACTTCTGTGTCTTCTTTCCAGCTGCCACCAAGCTTCAGCAGACCATTGTGATCTTCATGGGCATCTTTGTGTCATTGATGTTGCTGACGGGAGCCTGTTTCCACCTGGTCCTGAAATACAAGGGCCGAGTTAAATACTGGTTTCACTCTCCACTCAAGATCCCAGTAGAAATAGGAGAGGTATGTGTGCACACTTGCACCTGGGTGATCGGTGCATCACTGCCTTGGTCATTCTCAAAAGTTCAACAGAAGGCAAAGCTATAGACATAGAGATTTGAGTTTAAAATAGCACAGTGTCTGAGTTTGCTAGGGCTACTATTATAAAATACCATGAAATGATTGACCTTAAAGAACAAAAATTATCTCACCATCACAGGAGCTAGAAGTACAAATGTGAGTGTTGGCTGTGTGGATGCCTCCTGAGGGCTCTGAGAAAGCTCCATGCCGTCCTCCTGGGCCCTGGCGGCTGCAAGCAGCCCCTGATATTGGTTCCTTTGCCACTGGTGGATGTACCTTCACTGGCCTCTTCCCTTTTATGTTTTGTCCTGTCTCTCATGTCTGTTTCCCTTTATGAGACGCCACCCAAAGGGATTAGAAGCCACACTATTCTGATAGGACTCGTTTAACTGGTAAAAGAAAAACCCTGTTTTCAAACAGGGTCACATTCTCTTTGGACAGCATATCTTTTTGTGGGACAAAATATGTTTTGTGGTGTGTTTTTTTTAAAACGTAATACTTAAAATTTTAATTTTTTTGTCCCCTCCATGGTAAAACTTATATACAACAAAACATTCTCCAGTCCAGCAATTTTCCACATGTGTTATTCAGTGATATTGATGATACTTTTCATGTTCGTCTAGGAAGCCCTGGTGGCTTAGTGGTAAGGAGGGTACTGCCAACCCAAAGGTGCACGATTCAAATCTGCTTGTTATTCCATGTGCGAAAGATGGCCAGTTTCTTCCTGTGGCATTTACTACCTCTGAAAACCTGCTGGAGGGTCAGCTATGAGTCGGTTCCAACTTGACAGCACACAACAACTGTTTTTCAAATATTCTTATCATCCTTTCCTAAATTATCCCACCACCACTGACATAAACTCAATGCAGAAACCTCTAAAACTAAGCAGAAACCTCTGAGGGATACAATATATAACGCATGAATTGGGCAAAAGATGTGGCCTGGTCAGCAGTGGGCTGCAGGGGGTCTCTGTCCCAGGGCAGCGTGTGGGTCCTCTCTGGAGACAGGCTCCAGGGACACTGTCTACAGGATGTGGAGGCGGCACAAGGCAGAGAAGATTGTAACCAAGATTAACACTGGGGGCCCAGCACAGTGCACCTCAAAAGACTCTGCAGAGGAACCACAGCCCCAGAGCACTCTCTGGCACAAGGCCTCACTCACTCGCCTGCACCAACTCAGGGCATGTCGCTAGGATTTTAAAAGATGTGTGTGAGGAGGCCAGGGTCAGTCCTTTTGAGGACAGAGCCAGGAGTGTCAGCATCAGGAGTTAGTAAAGGGGGGAGCATTTAACAGTATTTGTTCCTGGAATTTTTCTTGTCATCCTTCAGTAAAATAGAATTACAGGTATTGGAAACTAAAATATACTTACATCTTGTTGTAGATGGTAGGTAAGGCTCCCCAAGTAAGCTGTTAAGTGCTCACCTGCTCACAGAGGCTCATGGTTTGAGCCTACCCAGGGGTGCCTTGGAAGAGAAGCCTGGCATTTTCCTTCCAAAGCCCCACCACCGCCGCCCTGTGGGGCGGGGTTTACTCCTAACACGTGGAGTCGCCATGAGTCATGGTCACCAACAACTAATACGGCTTTCTTAATTTTAAAGATAAGATAGTTTCACTTCTGGAAAGTTTCTAAGTCACTTTTTTCCTTTCTGTCAAGATGTATTTACAGTACCAGCATTAGATAAATTATGTTGATATTAAACTTCCTACTAGAGCCTCCTCAGTTCGTACCCTCACTGAATAACAGCTCTCCACAGGCCTCAGGATTTTGCTTGCATCAGTCTTTTGCAGAGTAAAGCTACTGGTTGAGCACTAATAAATAAATTTGCTTTTAACTATTCCTCCTGTTTAGCATGAATCAAAAAACTTTCAATTCACTTTCCTGGGAAAATGTGATAGATGTTTGCTACAGGTCATACGAGTTACCTAAGAATAATGAATCATGTTTCACTTGTACTTTTGAAGGTTTCACAAATGCACATGATTTGTTTTGTTCCTCTTATAACCCCATACTGCCAGCGAATTGAGCATTACCCCTAAAAACCCTATAGAACTTCTGCATGGTTTCCAAGCTTGTAAATCTTTTCCAAAGCAGACTGCCTCATCTTTCTCCTACAGATTCAAACCATTAACCTTTCAGTTAACAGATCAGCACTTACTCCATTATGCCACCACGGATATTTCAAATGCAATCACTCAGCACTCATGTATCTGTGTCTGTATCTCTCAACCTTTCAAAGAAAGAACTTCGTGTTAGGCGATGGTGAGTCAGTCCTGAATCATAGCAACACAACAGAATGACACAGCACATCCGTGTCCAGTCCTGCTGCATCCCACAGTCATGGCCGTGTGTGAGCCCAGGTTGCCGTGACCGAGTCAGTTCATATCATAGAGGGTCTTCCCCTTTACCCTGCCCCTCTATTACGGTGCCTGCCTTAAAGGATGGTCCTGTGTGAAGACATTTTAAGGACATGAGATGTAGTCTTGCCTTCTGTACCTTTAAGGAATATTCTGGCTGTATATTTCCCAAGACAGATTTGTTCATTCTTTGGGAATTCCATGTATTCTTCACCAGTACCATAATTCAGAGGCATCAAGTCTTCTTTTGTCTTCCTTATACATTGTGTAGCTTTCACCTGCATATGAAGCAGTTGAAAATACCATGGCCTGGATCAGGCACATGTCAGCCCTCTGAGTGACATCTTTGCTTCTGAACTTCAGAACATTGATTATGGATCCAAGTAAAATTAAATCCTGACAGCTTTAGTCTTTTTCTCTGTCTCTCATAATGTTGCCTGTTGGTCTGGTTGTATGGATTTTTGGTGTGTGGTTTGTTTTTTTTTATTGATGTGTAATCCATACTAAAGATGTTTAAGCTTTTAAAGCTTAAAACTAATGAATCTTTTAAGCTTCATCAGTACTCTTCTCTTTGAGCACACAAAGTTGTGTCATCTACAAATCACAAGTTGTTAGTGTTAATCTTGATGCTAAATTCTTGTGTGTGTTGTCCAGCTTCTCAGATATGCTCAGTATACAGACTGACTAAGTATGATAAACGGATACAACCCTTACAACACACCTTTTCTGATATTAAGCCATGTAGTATCCTTCTTCTATTTGAAAGACTACCTCTTGGTCTATGTCTGGATTCTGCATAACCAAAATTAAGTGTCCTGAAATTCCGATTATTTGCAATGTTTTCCATGTTTCAGTATGATTTTACATGGTTGCTTTTGCATAATCAGTAAAACACAGAAAAACATCATTCTAATATTCTCTGCTTTCAGCCAAGATCTATCCAATGTCATTCCACATCCTCTTCTGACTCCAACTTGAATTTCTATCAGTTCCCTATTGATGTACTGCTAAAATAGTTTTAGAATTATCTTCAGCAAAGTTTTGCTTGCATGCGATTTACTCATGATTGTCTTTTCTTCTCGAGTGGCACAAGTATGGCCCTTGTCCAATCAGTGAGCTGAGCAGCTGTCTCACTTGCCCTTGGTCATGTTGTGCTGACCTTGCCTTGTTATATATTGCTTGCCTTGACCAGGTGTCCGTGTGTCAGCTTAGTTAGGATTTTCCCTCCCTTTCCCTAAACCCAATCAAAAAATGGTTCTTTCTGTGTGTAAAACTGCTCTTGACCTCTTATAATAGTGATTGTATACAATATTTGTGCAGAACTCTTATCATTCTATCTCCAGCCTCATTTCTCTCACCAAGCCCGTATTTTCCAGCTACTGAACCACCTTCTCTGTTTCCAACTTTTGCATTCCAGTCACCCATTATTATCAATGCATCTTGATTGCATGTTTGACTGTAAAAGTTGGTAGAAATCTTCTATTTCCTCCTCTTTTTACTCTGCTTGCTGAGACTGCAGAGGACCTGAAGTGCTTGCTGCAGAAGATCAAGGACTACAGCCTCCTATAAGGACTGAAGCTCAACATCAAGTAAACAAAGATTCTAACCACTGGGCCAATTGGCAGCATCAGTATGGATAGTGAAGAGATTGAGATAGTTAACAGTTTTTGTTTACTTGGCTTCACGGTCAACACTCTTGGTAACAGCAGCCAGGAAATCAAGAGACGAATTGTATTGGGAAAGTTGGCTGTGAGGGATCTCTCAAGAGTACTGAAGAGCATCGATGTCAGACTGGAGACTAAGGTGCGCCTGATCCGGGCTATAGTCTTCGCAATTATGTGCTATGCATCAGAGAGTTGGACAATGACTAGGGTTGATAGAGAATTGATGCCTTTGAGCTGTGGTGCTGGAGAAGAGTGATGAATATACCATGGACTGCTAGGAGAACAAACAGGTTTGTTCTGGAGAGTGTGAAGCCAGAATGTTCCCCAGAGTCAAGGATTCTGAAGCTTCGTCTGACATACTTTGGGCATGTTGCAAGGAGGGACTGGTCCTTGGAGAGGGATATCTTGTTTGGCAGAGTGAAGGGGCGGTGAAGGAGAGGAAGACCTTTGATGAGATGGATCGATTCTGTGACTAGAGAGGTGGGAATCAAGTGCATTTGAGATGGCTAGTTTGGCACAGGATAGAGCATGGTCACTATGAGTCGCAGGTGACTCGATGGCACATAACAACAACAATACAATATTTGTCCCTTTGTGATTGAGTTATTTCACTCAGCATAGGGTTTTCTAGGCTCTTCATTTTTATTTAAAGTTAGTTGGATAGTGTGTTATACTGGGTTTTCTAGTGAAATAAAACCAACAAAGCTTAGAGAGAGCTTTATTTGAAGGAAATAGTGCATAAGTCTTAGAAGAATTGTGGGTCAGACCTCAAGAGATGCATCTGAGAGTCCCCAGATCATTGGGGCCAGACATGGGGAAGGGAGAAAGTGTATAGGGACACTGTGAGTTGAAGGCAGTGTGATGGCTCTGAGCAACAACACAGGACAAACCCGATTGTCGCCAGTACTTTTTCATTCACTCAGCCTTTTCGGGAACATTGATTGAGTGCCTGCTGTGTGTCAAGAGGACCAGATGTTAAGCAGAAACACAGGATCTATGCCTTTGGGAAATTTGCAGTCTAGTGAGGGAAGCAGAAAGGAGACTGCCCGCTTCAAAGGCTGATAAATCCAGATGTCATGGAGTGGAAGCATGGGCTGCGGGATTTATAAAAATATTCCTTCATCTTGGCATTACTAATTGGTATATAAAGTTGAATAATGGTTGTGTTGACTGGTTTTTTGGTAGGTGTATAGATGTTGTCCTATCATGGGCAGTGTTCTATTTTAGATTAGATTTTGGCAGTGAGTTATTCTTTCTGACAATGAATGTGACACCCTTTCCTCTTCCAGCTTTTCATTCCCAGCTTAGCATACCTTATGATTTAAATGTCCAATACAAGTCCATTTCAGCTTACTAATACAAAGATGATGAAGCTTCATCTTATGCTCTGGGCATGTTGCCAGGAGAGGCTATTCCTTGAAGAGGAACATCAGGCTTAGAAAGGTGGCAGGTCGGAGAAGGAAAGGAAGACCCTCAACCAGGTGGATTGACACAGTGACTGCATTGTAGCAGCAATGGGCTAGCGGGGTCAAAGATTGTGAGGATGGCACAGGATAGGACAGTCTCAGATCTGTTGTTCATTAGGGTCACTGTGAGTCTTATATTTGCCTTGACAGCCCTTACTAACAAAACAACAGCAATGCCTAGGATCTTCAAACATTACATTTCATTTTGACAACTGCCAATTTTACTTGATCCATATTATTTTTACATTCCACCTTCTGATTACTAGTAGTATTTATTAACTATTTCTTCTCATTTTGAGTCATGCCACATGAGCAAATGAAGCTTTACTCCATCCACATCATTAAAGTTCATTCTCTATGTTGAGAAGGCAGCTCTGCCTCAGACATATTTTGAATGCCTTTTAACCTGAACTTCTATACTGGCTGTAAGTCAGACGATACTCCATTGCTATTCATAGTATTTCACTGGCCAGGTTTCAAAACTAGATCTCTAAACTCTTCTCCTCAGTCTGCCTTCATCTAGATGCTCTGCTGAAATAGGTCCACCATGGGTATCAGTCTTCGGCCGGGCTTTCTAGAGAAGCAAAACCAATGAAGAGAGATTATACCTAGAAAAAGTTTGTGATTGATTTCAAGGCAACGGTTCAGTTACTTGTAGAGGCTGGCAAGAACAGATCGGTAGGTCAGAACTCCGAAGAAAGCTGTCTGGGGAATCTGATGAGTCCAAGCTTAGCAGGCAGGGTCACAGACTGCTGGTTTTGGAAGCTGACAAGTCTAAGATGAGCAGATACAGTGGGTTCTAATCTAGAAATGAGGAGTCAGGTACACTGTCAGGCAGAAAGCCTGTTAGCTTTCCCCAGAGAGTTCATATAGAATCAGTGCAGAACACACCTCTGAAGAGACTTTCCCACACTAGGTGGTGGTGGTTATGTACCATCAAGTCAGAATGGACCCATTGCTAATCCTCCAGTACCTTTTGAGAGGCAGTAAATTACATGGGGAAAGAGTTGCTCATCTTTTCCCCTCAGAGCTGCTGGTGGATCCATACCACGTGTCTTCAGGTTGGCAGTTCAGGTCTTTACCTCTAGGCCAACAGAGCTCCCTACCTCAAATTGGGTTAATTGTGTCATTACATAACTGCATCTAATTCTGCTTCATTAGCATCAGAGGTTAGAGCTCCTAACACATAGATAATTTTAATTATACCGAGAATCACGGCCACGTTGACACACAGTAAGACCCGGCTGATACTTGAAATATCAATGGCCTCACTTCCAGCAACACACAGGCCACTACAGTATGGCCAACTGTCAGACAAGAAGGTACCAAGTTCTCTGTAACCTGGTAAGGAGGCAGGAGTGAAAATGCAAGTGAAGCGTCATTCCTAATTGAGGACTGCAGCCTCCTGCCCTTCCTCGGGCTGCACAGCCAGCATGCTCCACGCTCAGACCCTACTGTGGGTTGTGTAAAGGAAGAGACAACAGATGGGATGGAGGGCTGAGGAACACGCTCATCCTTTCCCTCTTTTTGTCCACCAAAGATAAATGAGGGGGCCCGAGTCCTCCCTCACAAGTTAGAGATGTCTTAGGGCTAATGATCCTGTACACTCAGTGCATAGTCCCCGGGTACCACAGAAAGTTTACACTTGACAATTAACCTAAAGGTTGGACCCAGTCATGTCAGCGAGAAAAGGCCTGGCTTTTGTAAAGGTTCCAGCCAAGACCACGCTTTGAAGCACTCGTCTGTAACACATGAAGATGCCACTTGGCAGAATCTGCTCACTAGTAGTGCATTTGGATTGAGGTTTTCAGAGGGGATTTTGTGCACCAAGTATAGAAAGTAAGAACTGGGTTTTCCTCAGTTTTTATCCTTCCAGAGGCTCCATTTACATGGCTCTTCAATTGCTATTAAAACTACTCATGAAAAAAACGTAAAAACCTGTTAATGAGATGAGGCATGCCAGAGTGTTCATGTTTTTAAAAATACCTCATTGTTCAGTCACAAAAGGACAAATACTGCATGGTGTCACTGTTGTAAAACAGGACTGACCTTGAGGGTGGGGAGAGACTGAGAAAGATGGGTTCAATAATGTATACTGCATTGAAACAGATGAGGGAGAAAACCATTTAGAAGGGATATGTGATTCGGTATTTTTGTCATGACAGGAGTCTAGAGCGAAGGCTACATGGTGGAGTGGCAGGGGGTGGGAGGCATTGTAAAACAATGAAAGAATTTTTCTTTTACTTTTCCAAGAGGGTAAATGTACTAGGGGGGAGGGTTGGGAGGGGAGAAAAATGAAACAGTGAATGAATGGAAATCCAAAGTCTGTAAATGTTTACTGAAATTAATAATTTAAATAAGAAATTTAAAAAAATACCTCATTATTGGGCAGAGTAGACAGTAAATAGACAGTACCTATATTAATTAAAAATAAAAGGGGCTGCTATGTTGAACTGATAAGCTAATGACAATTCTTGTTTTCAATCTTTTCAAGTACTTAAGGGAGCCAGCTCACTCTGTTTTGGAAGCCTTGGAGAAAGACAGCTCGCCAAAGGAAGAGGTGTGGGACTCTGTGTCCATCGTCTCATTCCAAGAAAGGAGTGAGAACACAGTCTCTGGAGCTCTTTGAGCCACAGCCCCTGCCTGGCCTGGCCCAGCCATCTCCACCAAGAGGACTCTGCACCAGGATCCAGCTTGCGCTCTGCCTTGGTATCATGGGAGCCTGTACTTTGTGTTCGTGCTGACACCGATTCTGTCTGGAGGACAGAGAAACGGAAATTTTTTTTCCACTTTATATTAAGGATTTTCTAAATCATACCAGTTCAAAGATATCAGAAAAATTAAGATATTTTCCTAAACACTAAAAAAGAAACGGTTGTTGGTTTTGCTTTTTTTTTTTTTCACCAACATATTTTGGTACAGTTAGGATGTGTTTTCAGTGTTGGCAGAGAGGGATGCTGGAGAGGAGAGTGGAAGGCGAGGGGTGGACCCTGCACAAGAGCAGGGAACCCAGGGCAGGACCAGGAGCCTCTCCAGCCACCTCCAATCAGGGAGCCAAGTCACCCTTCACATCCATCTCCTCATTTCTGAACTGTGACTAATCATGTACCTGTTTTCCTTGTACATTAAGCCTTGGTTGTTTGGGTTGGTTGTAGGTTTTTTTGGTGGTATTTAGTTGGGGTGGGGGTTAACCTAGGAATAAAAGATTGTATTGACTATTAAAAGTCAATGTGAAATCTCTCTCTCCACTTTGCTTTCTTTATTTTGGCCTATTTTTGGCACAAAGTTTCTACCTCCAGATTTCTGTTTTCTCAAAGAACATCTGTAAGGGCCTCATGGGAACTCATCACAAACTTTCTGAGTGTGTCACTTAATTCCTTGAAAAGTTATGAACAGGGATTTTTCAGAAGCTGGGTGAGCACTTCATTTATATATGGTGTCACACTTTGTTTGCCAAGGCAAAGACTTGTGAGCAGTCAAGAGAATCAGCTAATAAACCAGACTGATAGCCTAGGGCGGTGTCATCTGACAGTACCAGCGGAGTGGACTCTCTTATTTAAAGTACATATGCTTAAACTCCATTTCTAAGATGCTTAACATTAAATAAGTGGAAGTGTAGAGTCATTCCACCTTCCATAAAAAGTGACACAGTTGCTGCGTGGTCAGCTCACAGAAAGATGCTTTTATAGGCAGCTTTGTCTTGGCAGTACCTGCAGATCAGGCTCATGGAGGAGTTGCAGCTGACTGCTGGTACTTAGTTTCCAGTGCTTGGTGATGGGATTATGCCTGTCTTCCAGCATGACACTCTTAGCTTTTGACTTGCCTGTTGGCTAACATCCTCAAAGTGAATTCTGGGGGCCTAGATGCAGAGCAGATAATTCAAGAGGTTGGACTTTATGAGGATGAATGTGGCATCAGGATTGGAAAAAAAACTCATGAACAACCTGCATTATGCAGGTGACACAGCCTTGCTTGCTGAAACCAAGGACCTGAAGCATTTGCTGCAGAGAGTCGGGGACTTCAATCTTCAATATGTCTTAAAGTTCAACACCAAGAAAAAGAATATTCTCACCACTGAGCCAGTTGGGAGTATCATGACAAATGGAGAAGAGACTGTTAACAGTTTTAGCTTGCTTGGCTACACAATCAACATTCCTGGCACCAGCAGTCAGGAAATCAAAGATTAATTGTATTAGGAACATCATCTTCGTTAGGGACCTCTCCCTAGTGCTCAAGAGCAATGATATCAGTCTAGAGACTAAAGTGCGTCTGATCAAAGCATGGCCTTTGCAATTATTATGCATGAGAGAGTTGGACAGTGACCAAACATGACAAGAATTGATGCCTTTGAGTTGCACTGGAGAAGAATATTGAGCATACCATGGACTGCCAAGAGAACAAGTCTGTACTGGAGAGGGTGAAACCAAGCTGCTCCTTAGAGGCAAGGATTTTGAGGCTTGGTCTCACTTTGGGCATGTTCCAGGAGGGACCAGTCCTTGGAGAAGGGTATCATGCTTGGAAGGGTTGAGGGACAGCACAGTAGAGGAAGAGATGGATTGACACAGTAACTGGAATAATGAGAGTGTGTCAGAGACAGAATGGCTCAGGATAGAACAGGGTTTAGAGCTATTGTACATAGGGTCTTTGGGTCACAGGAAAGTCGATAGCACATAGCAACAGTGCATAGGGAGGTGCCTCTCTGGTAGTTCTAACCCAACAGGGGCTCTGCAGAGATGGTTAGTCTCTCATGGGATTTGCAGCCTCAGAAAACCTGTTGGAGGGTCAGCAATGAGTCAATTAAGATTCCACAGAAAATGAGAGCAACCCTCCTAAGCACAAAAACTCTGTGTACCTGAAAAAACTCTGTCAGTTTAGTTGGGCCTTGATCTCAGTGGTTTGTCAGTTTCAGACAAAAGAACTCTTACAGCTAACAGAATAATAGCCATCTGTGAGGGGTTAAAAAGGAGACAGCCCAGCCATTAGCAAATGAAAGTCCTTTTGTTGTACTTTCCAGTCTGTTGCTATAATCTGCAGCTAGGAGTTATTTCCCTTAAACCACATTATGTGAATAGTGCCAGAAGACTGATAAGACCAGACCAGCTGGTCCAGCACATGGCCTCTAACCAGGACGAAAGAAGGTACTGGACAGACTCTTCGCATTCCACTGGCCTGTCCTTCACAACACAAGCATCTGTCCAGGAAAGAAACATTTGGAAAGCTCCTTCCCTGTCCCCCCAATATACAATAAGACTGGGGTTTTCTTCAATCCATCCCCAAGGTTGATTTTTCCAGCATCAGGCAGCAAATTGTCACTTTATTGTAACAAAACTGTGTTTCTGTCATAACAGCACTAGATAAGGCAAAGAGTAAGTGGTTGGAAATCTTTCCCCCCCTTTTTGATCTTTTAATTTATTATTAATTTCAATGTAAATTTACAGAGACTTTGGATTTCCATTCATTCATTGTTGCACTTTTCTCCCCTCCCAATCCTCTCCCCTCTTGGAAAAGTAAAATTCTTTTATTGTTTTTCAATCCCTCCCCCCAGGTCCACTCCACTATGCAGCCTTCACTCTGGACTCCTGTCATGACAATAATACCTAATCACATATCACTTTTAAACAGTTTTCTCCCTTATCTGTTTCAGTGCCGTATACATTATTGAACCCATCTTTCTCAGTCTCCCCCCAACCCCGAGGTCAGTCCTGTTTTACAACAGCGGCACCATGAAGTACTTGTCCTTTTGTGACTGAGATACTTCACTCAGCATAATGTCCTCCAGGGTCACCCATTTTGAATAATATTGCATAAGTTGCTTGTTTTTCAATGCAGCATATTATTCCATTGTGTGAATATACCACAGCTTCTCTATCCACTCGTTTGTTGATGGGCACTTAGGTTGTTTCCAACTCATTGCTATTGTGAACAAGGCCGTGATAAACATGAGTGTGCATATATCTTCTTGGGTGGCAGTTATGGTCCCTTTGGGGTATATTCCCAGTAGTGGAATTGCTGGGTCAAATGGTATCTCTATTTGCAACTTTTTGAGAAAGCGCCATACCGCCTTCCACAGTGGTTACCCAAGAAGATGGACATTTTAAAGGCTTACCTCTGATGAAGAAGTTCCCTCAGTTGGGCCACTAGGATGATGTAAGGAGAGGAGACCATAGATAAGGCATAAAGGGAAGAGTGTGAGCCCAGCAGGAAGGGGGGTAGATCATTGATAAAAGCATGGTGTACAGCCTTTCAGGGTCAAGGATGCTGGTCTCTTTGGCACCAGACTGAAAAGGCTGCACTTGTTTTCAGCTGGAAATCTGTCTAGAATCCTGGAGCAGGAGATCACTGTGGTTCAGACCCAAACACTTACTTGACAGCAGTGGCTTAACAGTAACAGACAAGCCCAGAATCAGAACTACTGCCAGATGCCTCCTATCAGCTAAGCTATCCATTCCCTTTTAGAGAGCTAGATAAGGTCTACCAAGAGCATACAAAGTGCAGTATGAGAAAACAGCATCTCCAGGTCAAGTTTTATGGACCTTCACTGTTCTAACACCACAAACTATTGGGCATGAGGCTGATCTGTTCTCCAAGGGCAAGTTATTGTTGCTATGTACCAGGGAGTCAGAACTGACTCAGAATTGACCTGCCAGCGAGTTTTCGGAAGCAGTAAATCACACAAAGGAAATTACCCACTCTTTTTCCGAGAAGCAGCAGGTAGATTCAAACCTCCTGCCTTTGGATTGGCAGCACAGCTCACAGCTCTTTACAAGGCCACTAGAGCTCCTTCCAAGGGCAAGAGACAGGAATTATTTAAATAGGTTATTTTAGCTCTGTCTTGGAAAGAGTAAAACCAAGTTATCTCCTTGGAGGCTAGAATTTTAAAACTCTGTTTCATACACTTTGGGCATGTGGCCAGGAGAGACCAGTATTTGGAGAAGGACATCATGTTTGCAGGGGTGGAGGGGCAGTGCTGGAGAGGAAGATGCCAGATGAGATGGATTGATATAGTAACTGGGGCAATGGGGGTTGGTGGGTCAGAATTCATGAGACTGGCTCAGGACAGGGAAGGGTTCAGAGCTGCTGTACATAGAGTTGCTATGGGTCACAGGTGACACAACGGCACATAACAATCTTTTAATATAATCATTATTTAAATAATACCTGCTTTATTATAGTGTTTTCCAAAAGAAAACCCAAGTCTACTTTGTAATATAATAGCTTAGCAGTGAAATTAACATTAACAAAACAGAGCCTTTCATTTATAAGTGTAGCTAAGTACATAAGTATAAATGTTTGCATTGGAAGCAATTTTATAAATCATCTAGAATAGGCAAACTGCAGCCTGCAGGTTCATTTGGTCTGCTCTGGATTTGTAGTTTGAATGAACAATCATTTTTTACTCTTTTTTTAAATAGTGGGAGGAAAAGGCAAAAGACTGTTTCATGACACATGAAATTCGAGTTCTAGTGACCATAAGTAACTATTTTTGGAGCCCAGCCACACTCATTCATTAATGTCTTCACTGTGGCTGCTTTTGTGCTACAAACTGAATTGTTGCTACAGAAATTGGCTCCCAAAACAAAAAATATCTATTTCTGACTCTACAGTGGTTTGCTGACCCCTCATTTATAC